CACACACACATTGAAAGATCACCATACCCACTCCTTCACAGACATTAGATTTTCCCAGGTTCAGAGAAACACTCCATCTGGACTTCAATAGGGAGCTTGTTGTGATAACAAAACTGCAGACTTACAAGGTCGACTTTCCCCTGCAGCAGGGCCCGGTTTAATCACACCAGATGGGTCCCAGACAAAATCATATTTACCACGTTAAATGTGAGTAAGGCTAATGAACTCTGTTTGAAAAAACATTTTTTTTTCCCAACAGGTAAGGCTTCACGTCAGCCTGGACAAATGCATTTTTGTAGCTAAATCAGTCTGACAGCCAGTGTCTTGGGTAGATTTAGCCTGAAAAAAAATAGAAGCACATTGTTGTTGGAGTTTATAAAGTCAGATAATATACAAAAGAAACATATAGGCACTTTATAACATTCCTAGTGTGTGATCGTTATTATAACGTAAAAGTCAGTCACATATGATGTGGAGAGCCTGAAATGCAACCTCCTGAACAGAATTCCTCACGGAACCGGGTCACAAGCTGGATTTCACGCTGTAATGCTGCCTGTCAACTAGTGCTGTGTTAGTCACTGTTGCAGAATTACCGACTGACACAAAAACAACCCGAATTTTCTCCGAGCCTGACAGTAGTAGTCATGTGGACTGCTTTGTCTGCCAGGGCTTCGAGATATGTTCCGATTCGCCGCTGATTCTAACCTTACTTCCCGTTCCACATTTTGTGAACTTGACAAATCTGTCCGAAGGCAGTGCAGGCTGATATTAGCTAAATGGAGTGAACCACGCCTCTCAAACTTTGCATTTAGGTAGGTAATTGTCTTTAGAAGATGTTAAAACTTTTATTTAGCTTACTCACCTCAGACTGGAGCCCGCCATGGTGGGGGAGCAGAGTCGGTGGGCTGCATCTAAATTGCGGAAGAGCCACGGTGGGCACAGCCTCCCTCTTCAAACGGAGACGTGCAGAGTCGCGGGTAAATTGCTGGTTGCAAACTACAGCACCAGGCGGGAGCTGAATGTTTTCCAGACACTGATTGCGCGCAACCACTGCCGCCTAATTTCTAAGTCCAGCGGAAAGGAGTGCAATCCCACAGAGCCACCGCAACCCACTACACTACACCTTCTCACCATACTAACACGATATGGAGCACTAAACCCAAACTACTTTCCTAATTACACTAACAGCCAAACACTAACTAAACTACAATATCAAACAGCCAAACTAACCCTAAATAAGTATGTATAACACTAAAAGCTATGCTAAAGACTAGGATATGCTAATACTATATGCTAATGCTGAACTGCCAACCTCCTACACTCGCTTGCAAATCCAACTCCCAACTCACCACAAGGCGTGGCCGAGACTCTCGATGCTTTTATAACTTTGACACAGAGCTGCTACGTAGTACTCTACTGGTTTACGTAGTATCTTACTCTTTAGCCATTGGCTAAAATTTATTCAAAATGACTCAAATTCTATGTTTTAAGCTGAAGGTGGCGCTATACTGTGGTATTTAGGCAGAATTTTTAATTTTTAAAGAAAATGCACCAAAATGCTAAAATAATGAATACACACACTTAAAACACTATTAGACACTCATTTATACAGTTCATCAGCAAAAAAAAAAAAAAAAAGTTAAATTAGACGTTACATGCTCTTTAAATAAAGACTTAATCGAAATAAATAGCCTAAATAAAACAAAAATATTACTTTATGGTATGTCTACCGTGCACAACACCTGATTCAGATGACTTATAAAAAGAAACTGTTTGTAGGCATTTTAATTTAAATGTTGTAAAGTAATTCACCAAGTTTAACAAGTGTTAATGTGTTTAATTCACTTATCACTGTTTTGATTGCCTCAATAAAACAATTCAATGTAATTCAGTCATTTATTCCTTCAGTTTTGCTAATATGTAACATTAAAGCCTCTGAGCTGCCGGTGCATAACGCGGTGGGTCAGATCTGTGAATCAGCCGATCTCAACAAAAGTGGAAAAATTGGATTAACCTTCAACCTAATTGTAATATTATTGACAAAAACACAGCAGATCATCATTTTACCTGCACCTATTCATTCCTTAGGTAAAACTTAACTCCTATGAGCAAAAGAAAAACATAAAAAATGAATGAATGAATGAATCAAGAAAGCAGAAAGAACTTTTATTTTTACATTTTCCCACTTCTGTTCAAAGTATTTTTGAATTTTTTACATTCAAAAATTGTTTGAATTGTTTGAAAAGGAACATTGACATAAAAACTATTTGAGATAATTTCATAAGTTTTGAATGTTAAATGTTATTTAAATGCCATTCTAGGGCTGCATTGATATTAGGAAAGCCTGCGATATGTGATAACAGTGATTAATATTGCGATGACGATATTACTTGCAATAAATAAAAACTTAACTTCGGAACAAAAATAATCAAAAACAAAGAAAGTAAAAACTGACAAAAAATGATAAAAAATGAGAAAATCAAAAGATGTGAGAAAAGGGAAAAGGAAAATGAACAAAAAAAGACATTCAGTGGATCCTGGGAAAAGCAGAACGAAGCAGAAAGAGCAGAACAAAACTAACTCAGGTGTTTGCTAAACATTAAAATTAAGTGCCGTCTGCCTTGGGGGCGGGCATCTAACCTATGAGAACCCACCCATTTGGCCAAATGGGTGAAGAGCTCTATTTGATTTGTTAAAAACACATCATGCCTCCGTTTGTCTGACAGAATGCATTATGTGTAGCAAACATTTGAGCTGACCATTCATTGCAATATTTATTTGTTCTTTGCAATATGCATATTGCGCATGCTGATATCGTGGTAATGATATATTTGCGATATATTGTGCAGCCCTGCGTCATTGTATACTTTTTAAAATTATTTGTTCTGCAATTAATCTGCTATGTGAGATTGTTCAGAAACAGCTATTTAGGCATGTATAAACAGAAGAAAATAATTTATTGTGATGTACTAATTATTATCGCATGTGTTGCAAAATGTATTGCAATATCGATTTTAGGCCATATTGTCCATTCCTAATATCATTAGACTACACTTTCTTGAATTTGAATATCAGTTTCACATAATGGCTGGCGAGTCTAGAGTCTACTGTGCATAGCCAACAATGAATCAAAGCAGGGGTGCCCAATCCTGGTCCTGGAGGGCCGGTATCCAACAGGTTTTAGGTTTAACCCTTCTTCAACACACCTGAATTCAATCAGCGGGTGATTAACAGGCTTCTGTAGAGTCTGATGAGCTGCTGCACAGGTGATTCAACCACTGAATCAAGTGTGTTGGAGCAGAGAAACCATAAAACCTGCTGGATACCGGCCCTCTAGGACCAGGATTGGGCACCCCTGAATTAAAGTAAAAGGAGAACAACCAATATTAATATGTTTTGCTTCATGTCAGTGACTGGAACAGAGCCACACGGGTTTTTTTCCAGTTGTTACATCACCAGTTTTGCCCAGATGCCTGGAAGGCCTCTCCGCGTGGTTGCAACTCTGTTTTCAGTGTATGCATGTTTCAGGACCTTGGACAGCTCAGTGCTAGAGCCCTGATGGACCGCGGCTGCGAGCTGTTACGCTAATGAGGATGCCACCAAAAGAGAGGTCGTGTGAGGAGCTAAGAAAAAAAAGACGAGCGCTAAGGAGCGAGAGACACAGAGAGCGAGGCTCTGAGATAAACTGAAAGTTCCTGCACTGGGAGACGGACCTGATCAAACAGATGAGGACGGAGAGATGCGATGAGAAGCTGGAGTTGAGAGATGACCTGGAAATCTGACGGGTCTCCATCGCTGATCCCTGAGCTGAACGGGAAGCCTGCTGCTTCCCGTATTTGGCGACGACACCCCAGAGGAAAGCTTCTGGCCGATGAGTATCTGCTTTCCTAGGGTTCTAACAGACTGTGTCTTGGGTTTATGGCTTTTAGACGGTCTCTAACTGGTGCTGTGTGTGTTATTTGCCACCAGACTAACGCTCTCCATCAATATCGAGTAAATGGATGCCCTTGTGTGGAATGCTGCTGATTAGGATTGAAGTCCTTTTGGTGTGTTGTCTCTGCTAGGGACTTGGAAGGTAAATAAGGAGAAATCCTAGGCTGAGCTAAATAACTCCCAGAGTGGGACCCCTCACCCCCACCCAACCACCCCCTCTCTCTCTCTCTCTCTCTCTCTCTCTCTCTCTCTCTCTCTCTCTCTCTCTCTCTCTCTCTCTCTCTCTCTCTCTCTCTCTCTCTCTCTCTCTCTCTCTCTCTCTCTCTCTCTCTCTCTCTCTCTCTCTCTCTCTCTCTCTCTCTCTCTCTCTATCTATCTATCTATCTATCTATCTATCTATCTCTGCTGACAAGGAGATTGGGCCCTCTGTTTTGGAGGTGTTTTGATCGTGGTTTTATGTAAAGGAATGTTTGCTCTCTCCCTCGTGGGGTTTTAGATGACCCGCTGTGTTTTGAAGCCGGGCATCCTCCTCCCCTTTGTTTGTGTAAATAGCTGGTTTGTCTTCTTAAGCTCCCCCAGGTTGATTACTGTTGTTAATTAAAGGACTGTTTATTGTTTATTGAGTGTTTTGACCTTTCCCCTTAGTTTCAGGGAGATTTTTGGTTATTTTTTTGTCACCCAGAGCTATGGGAGGAGACCATCAGGCAGAGCTTTTAAAAATAAAAAAGCATTTTAAATAACCTTAACTGTCTCGCCTTTTGTTATGTTTTGACCCCATACCCTCCTGGACATGAAGGGGTTGTAACACCGGTAATTTAACAAAGCTTTTAACATCACACAGCCACTCTCTTAACATATCCCCTTGAACGCCATAAAATACAACATAATTTGAATGAAGAAAATGGCCACAATTGTATTAATGTCTATGGCTGTGGACACCTTTTGGTGTTGATCAGTGATGTTCTTAACTTTTGAAACGGTCTCAATGTTCTGATGTCTTAGTAAATTTCTTAAAGCATCAGTTTTGTGTGGTTACACAACAGTTGAGAGGACAGAGTGCTACACACCCTCCCAGAAACTTCCCTGAACTCCTACAGTTGAAACGCAGCTGAAGTATCTCTAGACCAGGGGTCATCAACCTGTTGCCCCCAGGAACTCTATAATGTGCCCTCAGGCCTGTTATAAAAAAAATAGCACTACTGACCATTCAGCAAAGTCTAAAGTATTATTTTCTGCTGCTATTTTTTAAATCGCACTTTATGTGATTAAAAACATGTCAGCAGAGATGGCTTACAGAAAGAGACGAGGATGGATAGAATCATGAATCATCCATCAGAGGGACAGCTTATGTTAGATGTTTTGGAGATAAATTCAGAGAGGACAGACTTGAGATGGTTTGGATGTGTCCAGTGGAGAGACATTGACGATATAGGTAGAAGGATGCTGAGGTAGGAGCCACCAGGCTGAAAGAGGACATGAGTTAATTGGTATGAGGGTAAAAGATGCAAAATGGAGGACTAAATGGAGACGGATGATTGGCTATGACGACTCCTGAAGGGACGAGCTGAAAGAGAAAAGAGATTTTTCTTATCAGACTTGCATTGACAAGGATTGTAAAATTATATTTTTTAAAAAGCCTTAAAATATATCATTTATACATGAAGTTTAGTTAGACTCAAATCTATTCTAGTTCAAAGGTCAGTATTGTATGCACAATAAAAATTGGTAGCCCATCATAAGGCTCAATAGTCATGAATAACTCTCAGGTTCACATTTGGTTGGAGGAAAAAGTGTCTGGGGTTGGAGCATAAGTAAGAGGGAAAGTTTTTTCTTTCTAATGTTGACCTGAAGGATTAGATGCCAGCATGATATAAGTGTCAACAACAGAGAACACAGCGCTGCAAACGGGTCATCTGCAGCACGTTTACTGACAGAGCTTAGACACAATAAGGTGTATGATGGACTTTTTTAACTCTGCTTTTGGCAAAAATATCACCTTTATCCATCCTGCATATTTCATAATCAGTGGATTTACTGGCATTCCTAATATAAAGTACTACTATGTTTTTCTCTTTTTGGTCTATATCGCTTCAGTCCTTGGAAACGCAGTAGTGATGGTTGTAATTTACCTGGATCACAACCTCAGAACTCCTAAATATATAGCAGTTTTTAACCTTGCATTTGTTGATCTGTTAAGTAACACTGTTTTGGTGCCGAAGGTGATTGACATCTTCTTGTTTAACCACTTCATCATCCCCTACATTGACTGCTTGGTTTTCTGTTTTTTCAGCTACACCTGCCTTTCAATGCAGGCTCTAAACCTGGTTGCTCTGTCCTGCGACCGGGTGGTGGCTATCATGTTTCCTCTGCACTATCATACAAAGATTACCAACAGATCTATGTTTAGTCTGATGGGTTATTTCTGGCTGTTTGTTGTAGTTGCTGTTTTAACTTCAGTTGCTCTTCTCACAAGGCTTACCTTCTGTAATTCTGTGGTAATCAACAGCTATTTCTGTGATTATGGTCAGATATTTGAAATGGCGTGTAATGACTATTTTCCCAATGTTGTCATTAGTTACTTGTTGAGATTTCTTATTCTATGGGTTCCTTTATTAGTCATCTTATCTAGTTATTTTTGTATTGGCTATGCTTTGGCTAAAGTTGCATCATTTCAAGAAAGAGCAAAGGCACTGAAAACCTGCACATCTCACATTTCATTAGTGGCGATGTATTTCTTCCCTGTAATAATCACATTTACTAGGGGTCCGCAAATACACCCAAATGCTAGAATAATAAACCTGTCTCTGACCTCCATCTTTCCTCCCATGTTGAATCCAATTATTTATGTTTTACAAACTCAAGAAATCAAAAATTCATTGAAGAAAATGTTAGAAATCAGAAAGCTATCTAGAATCATAGTAAAATAATAAAAACAAAATATTGCCACATTTGTGAAGAAGGGTTAGTGTTAAAAACGTCTATGTTCTAATTTATGTTCACAAGAACTAGATTTTATTCATATTTTCTTGTAAATTAGTTCTCTTTTCTAAATTATAGCAAAGGAACATCTAATGGAAGTCATTTTTCAATAGCTTTTACTTCATAAATTCTATTAAAATTGAATAAGCTCTGGCAAAATTAGCGGAATTTCAGAAATTCCTAGAATGTTTTTAAAAGATTTACATTTAGCTGATTGTTTCAAACAATTCTTGTCACAACAGCATTTGTTGCAGATAAATGAGCCTAGATCTGGAGCAAACATGTTTTTGAATCTTGTTTTAATTTTTACTTTTAAGTGATTGTAACATTTAAATTTTTTTGCAACATAAGTCTTTTTAAAACAAATTAGAAAATGATTGAATTGAAAAACCCTCTTGTATGATTTTTGAATTGATGTACTATCATACTGTATTTGCATTTCCAATGAAAGTCACTGTGTGTCATGGTAATGTTTGTTTAGACCCACAACACTAATAATAATCAACAACACTGTCTTTTCTTAAAGAATTCATATTGATATAACTGTTATTAGAGGAAGGACGCCAGCATTACAATGTGAATGCTTTATCCTGACGTGGAAATGATTCTGTTAAAAAATAATTATTATGGAGCAACAAATTTTAAATATCTTGTAAGTAGATCATGCATTTTATAGACTGTACGCGATTTTTAAAGTCAAATACAAAGTATTTTTAAGTAACTGCACCATTCTTGTCTTTGAATGAAAACTGTTTAGGGTGTAGTAACTGCAATTTTAACTGAAAGAGCTTATTTAAAATAAATCTAAATTTTCTAATGATATATGAGTTCTGATATTTTGAATGAATTTTAAACTATAAACTGTAATTTCTGCTTGGTATACTTTGTACAAGACACTGCTACTTAATTTTGTTCATGCTCTGGCAGCAATATGCTTCTGTACATGGCCACATGGTGCCCTGGAGATTTTATCTTTGGTTTTCTGCCATTGATGGATGAATCTGATGAAGGTCAATTTCCAAGTTTTTCAACTATTCACTCACTCACTCACTCACTCACTCACTCACTCACTCACTCACTCGTACAACCAAAAGTCATCAATTAATCTGAACATGCATCCTTTTGGTGTTTAGGAATGCCTTTAGAAACACTATGTATACACAGGGAGGCTGTAGTTGAGATTTAAACCTGCAACCTTCTTGCTGCGAGGCAACAGTTATACCAGTTGTGCAACCATGCAGTCTGTTATGCAAACAATGTTTTGAAAATAATGTAAAGAACATAACATGGCATGATGATTACATACAAACAAGTGTATAATAAAAACTGCTAAATTTGAATGACATTAACCTTTCCACTGTCCTAATGGGTGTGACCCTGCGAGGAAAGTTGACCATTGAGCAGGACTGATGGTTTATCCCTTGGGTCCATGTGGCAGGGGTGAGGAGTGAGCACCGCCTCACCCCTGCCACGTGGACCTCAAGCGATAAACCATCAATCCTGCTCAATGGTCAACTTTCCTCGCGGGGTCACACCCATAAAGACAGTGGAAGGTTTACAAAAAAGTTTAGTCAAAAATAGGAAGTATTATTTGGTAGGATAATTATAAGTAAAAAGCTATAATTTAAGTTTTTATTAAGGGGCTTCCAATGTAGGCAACTATTATGAAAACAGCAGGCTTATTTGATTGGACGTTTGTGTTTCTGAAGTTGGCCAATGGACAACAGGACTTAGATAATGAACAAGAAGGGGATATGAAAAACACTACAGAAGAGCTCCAGTGTCTGCAGCAGCTTTGTCTCGACTGACGGAGCTTAGATTCGCTACAGGTTGACTACACATTTGAAATGGACCTGTTCAACTCCGCTCTTGGCATAAATATCACCTTCATCCGACCTGCATATTTTATAATAAGTGGATTTATTGGCATTCCTTATATGAAGTACTACTATGTTTTTCTCAGTTTTGTCTATATTGCTTCAGTCCTTGGAAACACAGTAGTAATGGTTCTGATCTACTTGGATCATAACCTCAGAACTCCTAAATATGTAGCAGTTTTTAACCTTGCATTTGTGGACCTGTTGGGTAACACAGTTCAGGTGCCGAAGGTGCTCGACATCTTTTTGTTTAATCACTTTAACATCTCCTATAATGACTGCTTGACATTCCTGTTTTTCTGCTTTACTTGCCTTTCAATGCAGGCTCTTAACCTGGTTGCTCTCTCCTACGACCGGGTGGTGGCTATCATGTTTCCTCTGCACTATCAGACAAAGGTTACCCACAGATTTATGTTTAGTTTGATCGCCTTTTTCTGGCTGTTTGCTATAATAGCTCTTCTGGTTGCTGTTGGTCTTCTCACCAGACTCTCCTTCTGTGATTCAGTTGTAATTAACAGCTATTTCTGTGATCATGGTCAAATATACAGACTTGCGTGCAACAACAATTTTCCCAATTCTGTCATCGGTTTCTTGTTGCCATTTCTCATTCTTTGGCTTCCTCTGTTTGTCATCTTGTCCAGTTACATTTGTATTGGCTATGCTTTAGTTAAAGTAGTGACAGTTAACGAACGAATGAAGGCCTTCAAAACCTGCACAGCTCATCTTTCATTAGTGGCGATCTATTTTATCCCTATATTAATCACATTTACCATGAGTGCAAGAATACATCCTAATGCCAGGATAATCAACTTGTCTCTGACTTCAGTGTTTCCACCCATGTTAAACCCAATTATTTATGTTTTGCAAACACACGAAATCAAAAGTTCATTGAAGAAAATTTTTAAATTCATCAGGCGATCCAAAATTTTAGTTAAAGGAGATCGGACATAGTCCAAAATTCAATTTTGTTTTTACATTTATTTTGATTGTACTTATTGCAGGTTTCTTAGAGAACTGAAATTTTAATGCCAAATTGCACGATCAAATTAGCATCTATAAGCACCAACAAGAGACAATTAAGAGGAAAGATTTGGTGTTGAATGAAGTTTATTAGTAATATTGTGTGCTTAAGTGCTTGAATTGAGAAGTTATGTTTTAAAATCTAGTGAGATGATGAAAAATAAATGTTATGGGCTCATATTTCCTCAACGATTATTTCAATACATTATATCAGAAATGTGTGACCTTTACTGGCTTATTTAAGCTATGGTGAAGTAAGATTTTATTTTGTATTTTTTAAATCAACTACACATTTTTTAAAATGTTGTTTTTATTTAACTTGCTTTGATTAGGCCAGCTAGGATTCAAGTAAATAGGCCCAGAGAGAAACAGATTATGGTTCTGCCCCTTTCTGTATTATATTTGATCAAATCCAATATTTCCTGAATAAAAACACATTTTCTTACAGTGTGTGAAGTGACTATTATATTGTCTTGAGTTATTGTATGAGAAATGTTCTATGTTTTATGTTGCATAGCTGGAAGTGTTGTGGATTTAGTTGATGCTTTTTGGTGGAATAACCTAAATGATTAATTTTTAAAAAGAGGCAGAAGGGTGAAGTTAACATAAAAAGCCTAATTAGTTTAATGAAACTAAAAATCCTGTTGATTCTGTAAAATAAATAAAGAGGAAAATAAAACTCTACTGAGTCAAATTGCAAAAAAACAACTGTTTTCTGATGCTTGTGCAGGGACTGGTATTAAAACAATAAAGAGGCATCATAAAGAATTAAGCTTCCCATACCTTGAACTGAAAGAGAACAACGGGAAGAGGCAACATCAGATGACAGAACAGCACTGACATCTGCAGCAGCACAGAGCTTAGGCACAAGCCAATTTTAAAATGGACCTTTTCAGCTCTGCTCTTGGCAGAAATATCACCTTCATCCGTCCTGCGTATTTCATAATCAGTGGCTTTATTGGCATTCCTTATATGAAGTACTACTATGTTTTTCTTTGTTTGTCTATATTGCTTCAGTCCTAGTGGTGGTTCTGATCTACCTGGATCATAACCTCAGAACTCCTAAATATGCTGCAGTTTTTAACCTTGCACTTGTGGACCTGTTGGGTAACACAGCTCAGGTGCCGAAGGTGCTCGACATCTTTTTGTTTAACCATTTTAACATCTCCTATAACGACTGCTTGACATTCCTGTTTTTCTGCTTTTCTTTCCCCTCACTCCAGGCTCTTAACCTGGTTGCTCTCTCCTACGACTGGGTGGTGGCTATCATGTTTCCTCTGCACTATCAAAGATCACCAACAGATTTATGTTTAGCTTAATAGCTTCTTTCTGGTTATTTTCTGTAATTGCTGTTTTAATAGCAGTTGGTCTCATCACCAGACTCTCCTTCTGTAATTCAGTGGTGATTACTGGATGATAAATTTGTAATTTGCTTGCTGTAGGGATGTCTGACCTTATCAGGCGACCAATAATATAGGCCGATATTGGCATTAGAATGTAATATTGGAAAATATCGGTATCGGTTTTTGCTTCTTTAATTACCCAACTTTTACATACAATGCACATATTGTCCATCAAAGTCTTCTTCTGTATCTCCTCTTTACGGAAGCCCTGAAAGGCAACAGATTTTAATGTGGCATTTTTCAGCTTTTTCCCTGCTTCTGAACCAAAAATCACCAAAAAAGTGTTTTTTCCTTTTGTAAAAATTCTAATCGTTACTTTATCGTTTTTTTGCTCAACCCGAAAAGGCAAACAAACACAAAAATAACAAAAAATAAAAATAAAAAAATATCTTTTTTTTTCCTCTTGTAAGTTTTCTAACTATGTACTTGCTTTTAGAAATTATCCCGAGGTGACACTGGTAATACATCCCTTCAAACATCTGCAAAATTGCTTCTGTAGTCATTTATTCTAGTTTGACAACTCCAAGTGACATCCTATACATACATATATCAAAAATTATTTTACTCCTTTAATAGAATTTATGTTTTTCTATATTTTTATGTATTTATTTCAATTTTCTATTTCAACGGGGTTTGGTTCCTTAAGGACTATTTGTCTGGAGTGTAAAAATAGTAAAAGGGAATTTTTGATTTTATTTGTCAACATCAAACTCAGCTTTCAATATTTATTTTTCTTTTATAAACATTTCACAACTGCACAATATACTTCTTGATGACTTTATTATAAATTATTTTAACTTAAGACCTTTTCTATTTAATTCATTTTTTTTAATAAAACCCCATCTGCTTGCTACTTATTTTTATATTTTAATATATATGGGACTATCTTTCAATAAAAAAAGCCACATTTAGACTAAAATGTCTTTTTGTCCTTTATATTCAGCTAATTACAGCTAATTGTTTATGACTCTTTGTATCTTTTTAAATGATTTAAGCTTTTTGGGGGTGAGTTGTTGGAACAATTATTGTTACACTGGGATATTTTTGCATTAATGACAATATTGGTAAATACATTTGTCCATGAACCACATTATTAAAATGCAATATAAAAAAGATAGCGGAGACGTCTTTTAACAATCAACAAATAAACAACAAAACCTGATTTTTGTTTTACAACTGCAGAGTAAATTAAACCATTCTCTGAACCCATATCAGTTTTTCATCATGGTATCTTTAATAAAAGGATGTGTAGTGGCTTAGTTTCAGTAAATATGGCAAGTCATTTTAACAGTTATTCAATAGCCTTACCACTTTGTAAATCCCATTTAAAACAGCAGTAATATAATTTATCCAAGTCCATATAGCATTCATACTAGTCTAAACTGAAAATAAAAAATAGCACAAGCAATTTTGCTGCTGGTCAAAATTTAATGGTCACTATTTCATGATGGCTGCACGGTGGCGCAGTGGTTAGAGCTGTTGCCTTGCAGCAAGAAAGTCCGGGGTTCGCTTCCCAGCCTGGGATCTTTCTGCATGGAGTTTGCATGTTCTCCCTGTGCATGCGTGGGTTCTCTCCGGGTACTCTGGCTTCCTCCCACAGTCCAAAAACATGACTGTTAGGTTGATTGGTCTGTCTAAATTGCCCCTAGGTGTGAGTGTGTGTGCATGATTGTTTGTCCTGTGTGTCTCTGTGCTTAATTAGAAGAAGAAGACAGAAGAAAATATCATTACATAATTAAGCAAAACTGAAACACTAATATAAAGTATATATATTATATATTTTTTCTCCCTTCGAATCTGGGAGGGTGGAACCCCAGCTCCAGCTATGGACGAGCCCCCAGGGGGCCCAACTTGATATTTTTTTCATGGGGCCCAAAATCTCTGGCAGCCCCCCTGCATGAGTGATTATGGGCTTTGTGATGCATGGCGATCTCTTCATCCTAACCGTAGAGAATATACTTTTTTTCACACGCCCATCACTCTCATTCACGTTTGGATTATTTTCCAGTCAGCAGCTCATTGTTGGCTGACATTTCAGACACTGAGATACACCCCATAGTTGTCAGCGACCATGCTCCGGTTTCTTTAACTCTGGTAAACAAGAAGACAATCCCACCAAGCAAAAACTGGAGGTTTAACACATCACTGCTTAAAGATGAAGGTTTTATAGAATTTTTTTTAAAAGGAGTGGGCTTTATATTTAGAACATAATGACCTGCCTGGAACATCAGCATCTGTTCTCTGGGAGGCTGGAAAGGCAGTGATGAGAGGTAAAATAATCTCTTTCTCATCACATAAGAAAAAAACAGAAAACAAACGTATTCAGGAGTTAGAGGAAATCATTAAGTCTTTAGAGGCATCCACAGAAGAAGAGTTAATGAGCAAATTACGTGAAGCTAAATTAGAACTTCATGGAGTTATAGACAAAAAGATGCAATTTTTAGCATAAAGACTATGAATAGAAAACTTTGAACATAGTAATAAATCAGGTAAATTTTTAGCTAGCCAATTAAAAATTATTAAATAGAAAACTACCATATCTGCTGTTAGACTCAACTGGGAATATAGTTTATGACCCTGAAAGAATAAACAACACTTTCAAGAGACTTTTACCAAACTTTGTACTCACCACAGATAAACCCATCAGATAACGAGATCAATGAGTTCCTTGACAGGATAACCCCGGGTTTCCACAGGAGCCGTCAGCAGCACGTTACTGCAGCAGCACGTCTTGCTCGCGTAAGCTGCTGCTCTGCCCTTCCCATGAGACGCGAAGCAGCAGGGGAGCAGCTGTCACCGACAGAGCACGAAGTCACACGAGTGACTTCGTCAGTAAACACAACAAGCAGGAGAAAACTACAACATGGTTTGTTGTAGTTTTAAAACTATGTAGCATAAAACTATGCTCTGTCCGTTTTATAATCGCCAATACGGACCTGACAAAAAAAGGAGACCACTAGCTATGTGATAACTTCTCACGGGGCCGCACAGTTAGTAACCTTTTTTAAAGTAAAGCAACCGGAAGGCAGTACGTTCTTTATTCTGAAAATCTCGGGAGCGTCTCTCCATTTCCACGTCCGATTTCCTGTCTTTCCTTCCCCAAAAATGTCGAACTTGACCCATTTCAGAGGCGTCGCGCGTAGAAAATAAAACCGGCGCGTAAAGGCCGCGACATGCTGCTCCTGAGACGCGTCCGACTCGCGCTGCTGACCGCTGCTGACGGCTCCAGTGGAAAAGGTTCTGTTGACCACAGCGGTTCCTATCAGCAGCTATGACGTGCTGCTGACGGCTCCTGTGGAAAGCCGGGGTAACACTTCCTAAATTATCAGACAGCCAAGTTACAGTCCTGGACTCGCCACTAACATCAGCGGAGCTCCAGGAAGCCTTTAAATCCATGACTAATAGGAAAGCTCCAGGTCCAGATGGTTTTCCAGTAGAGTTCTACAAAGAATTCTGGATCATTCTGGCTCCAATATTTTTCAGAATGGTGAGGGAAATCGAAGAGAGTGGCAGATTACAGCGAAACATGAACTCAGCCAATATTAGTCTCTTGGTAAAACCAGGCAAAGACCCTGCATTTCCTGC